ACACTGGTAGTTACTTCATTGTGCCGGACTTTATAGAAAGTGCTGAGGTTCAACTTTATTCTCCCTAACCACAGAAGCTCTGACTGATTAGCATGACATCTGCCTCTGTATGAATTACCTGCAGAAACAAGTCTGGTAAAGTGTCGTTGAGTTTTCTCTATTTTCTGATTGTCACCAGACCGCGAGCAACTGAGTACGACAGGACAGTATTCTAATAGTGGTCGCACACAAAACCTATACAGGATCAGTTTGGTTTCATTCAGGTGAAAGTTCCGGTGAACGGAACCGATGCATATAGATTAACGTCGTTTAATGCGCTTTTAGACCATCCTTTTGATCATTGATTAAAATCCTAATGCCCTGGAGAAGAAACCATTGCACTGAAACGTTCTGTTGATTTTCTAAACATACTAAGATTGTAACTGGCCGTATCTTTGTGGTGAATAATTTTGATCGCCGTTCAGTCTGTCAAGAACACATGAAACCTCTTCTGTCTGGGTATACATTATATCATCGTTACTTCAGGTTTCATAGAATGAAGACAAGGACTTCTGGTTTTTCACTTAAGGACTAGCTTCATGATGGAGACAGGACTTGAGAATTCTTTTATTCGATTTCGAAGGTTGTCTAGCTGTCATCCCACGAGTCTTGTCGGTTCAACCACTTGGGTGTTCGACGAAACAACTCACTACAAGGTGCCTAAACGCGTCGAGTCAGACAGTCCTCTAGCACCCCGGCTACACGATTTTCAGAGGAGACATCACTGTCTCGCAAACCACATTATCACTAGAGAGGGGTAGGATGCATCTGCTAATTGTGTCCTGGTAATAGGCATCGTGTTCATAAACTGCTGCGATAAGTTATCCCTGTATAGAGATTTACGTGATGTGGGTAGGAGTTTACATCGAGTCAAGTAGTGCCCACCAATGCAGTCATCGGGTATAGTTACTGTAAGACTGGCTAAATCTGGATTCTATTAGGAGTCGTTAGAGTACAGTTGAATCAATCTCATTGTAGCCACATAAGAATGAAGACTCTTATTTAATACCACAGGACTGGGGCTGTGGGAGCTGTTTAGGGAGAATGTTCGGTGGACAGGCTGTGTGATCTGGTTTTGGTACCGCCTAAAATATACTCACCGAAATTACTGTCCTCATTCTTACTGCCTCACTGCTGATCATATGGGCCATTAATTGGTTATTGTGGATTAGCCTGGTTTCGAATTCACTTCAAAAAGAAGTACAGCTTCCAGGACGACTTTTGATGGAGTGTCTCATGCGAAGTTTCTGCAGAGTCTCCTCGCATTGGAGTCTTGGGTTACATTGCAAGTGTGGATTAGGGACTTGCATTGTTAAAAAAGGCAGAATAAGACTCAGCGAAACCCTCGCGGGGTGAAGTTCGACAAAGGGTGGTGGTAAGTGTCCTCCTTTTTCTACGACATGCCGACAAATCAACGGAACTGCTCATTTCTGTCTCTCTCCGGTTCGCTGATAATGGAAGACTTGTGAAGTTCATAAGTCATGATGCTAGCAGGCATGCACTGAAAGTGAACCTGAATGAGTTAGTGGGTTGGCCCAAACGCTGTTCCCCGAAAATCAAATCCAGGAAAGCCTAATAATGCACGTTGGCCATAATAATTGCTTCCGACCTTTTACTGATAACGCACTACTACTCCCTGGTGCTGGACTTTTAGGATTCAGATGTCGTTGTAGGGCCCAGAAAACTTGGTTATGAGTTCTTTCTGCTATAAACTCTATATTCACTACTGACCGCAATTGAATGTTGAATAGCCTTTGATGTACTCGTTGAACTCCCTCTGCCTGACTTTCCTACCAGAGTGCCTGGAATAAACACGTTATACTTCTGCCACCGCCTTCTTACTTGCTACGTTGTGGCTGTCTAGAGCAAACTGTCCGAGGCGTTAGCCACAAGCCCCTGGGTCCAACACCATTGAGGGCCACCGTCTGAGAACATCCGTGTACTGCATTTAAACCATGGGTAGAGGTTGCATTATGCCATGGTCTTTGGGTGAGGATTTTGAGAGCCTCTATCAGGACATATTCAAGGTGCTCTATTCCACCCGTGACAGGTGTCACCTAAATTACTGTGTTCAGGCAGCGAATCCATGCCCATGTAACTGAACGTTTTCAGATGCTAGTTCAAAGGTTGTGGTCAGCTTTACCAATACTCAAATAAAGAAGCACTAGGCCGACTGAAATCCTTCCCGTTGTCTTATTTGAAATCAGATGATCCCATTCTGGGCTACTTTACCCTAAATGACGACTTCCATAGTGACGTGTCTCACTTCTCCTCCTTGGGTCGATTATCCATCTTGGCTAGCGTAGTCATCTGGCCATGACGACCCCAAATAACTGCATCAAAACCGACCTGCGCCATCTTCAGGCACTCGTCAGAGTCATACAGGATCCTCGAGGAGTAAAAGTGCCCCATCCTACCACAAATTTTCAAGGGAGGAGACAGAATAAGCCCAGGCGGCCACAGACCGATTTTCTTACTCCCTATACTGTCCAGAGTATTGAAAAGCGCAACAGTAGACGGAGCCTGGGAATTTTCGGGCGGGGAAAACACCTTCCTTACCTCCTAGCACGGCTTCCGGAGTGATTGTTCGCGCACCACCGAAATGCTGAGTGTTTCGGATGACTGAAGTTCTGTTTGAGACGAAATAAAACGGGTGCACACAATTTTTATCGACCCGGCTAAAGCAGTTGACAGTGTCCCGCCTACAATCCTACCTCACAGGACGGCATCAGCCGGCGTGAGCGACCCTCTGCTTTCCTGGTTAAAGCATACCTAGAAGGCAAAAAGTTCGGCACCAGAGTGATGAACAGAACACCGATGGAGAGGAGAGCATCAACACCAGGGGTTCCCCGCAGAGAGTTTCCAGGGCCACTGGCGTTCATTCCGTTCGTCAACCGTCCGCCGCAAAATATCCGCGCTCATCCTCCTCTTCACTGGTAACACTAAAATTTGGAGGATAGGAAAGGAAGAGGCCGACTGTATGGCACTCCAGAATAACCTACAGCTACTAGAACTCTGGCCGTCAATAAATGGCCTGAACTTCATTCTGCTAAAGTTTAAAGACATGCATATCAACACCCGTGGGGTAAGAACAGCTGAATTCCAGTGCGAGTGAAGCAACCGTGCCATAGTCAAAGCATCCACCAGAAAAGATTTGGAGCTCAATACCCTGGGCACTATCTGCAACTGTGAAGAGCTGTCGGCCAGAGCGCAAGCCATTTTACGCTTCTGCGTGGACAACTTGGTGCCCGCACCGCAAAGCCTTTCATCATAGTTTTCAGGTCCTACATACGGCCGCGCTCTCGACACCGCAACACTTCCAACACTTAAGGGAGATTTCACTCCTCTTGTGAAGATACAAGGATCCACCACTAGATCAGTTGTCAGACTGCGAGGGAAGATACGCCCGAACAGATCGAGACATCTAAATCTACTCACCTTAGGATATTCCCAGAAGAGTGGAGACGTCATTGTGGCCCGGGATACCATATTTCAGATGAGTCAAGCGAAAGGATTTTATCTGTAAAGTGGCGGTTATCTCGGTAGAACCGCTTCAGGATAGCACATCAGAGATCCGACTCCACACCCGAGTCCACCTATTGCCTCGAAAGATTGTGTGATTGATTAAATGCTCTACTGCGGGATGTTGTCGCACCCCACTCATTGGATTCATTTGAAAGACGTTCATACGGCTGTGTTAGTTCATATGGCCCACGAGTGACGTGCTGCAGACACTAAAGACCCCACTATACCACTACTACTCTCTTTATATCTACCACTCACCACCTTTCTGTTTTCGATTAAGTTGCATCACGTTCTAGCTCCTGTGTTACAATTAGATCCATAATACCTATTTTAGCCCTTCGGAAACCTCACATATACCTCTTCCCACTATCTTGTTATTCTTGCTGAGACGCCCATTCACACGGGCGTCACGAAAGATCATTTATTCTCTTCAGCAACCCTTTGCTTCTATACCAGCTAAATCTACAAGTTACATATATCAACCCAGGAAGCCTAAATTCTCAGTCACTATCGTACGCCAATGCTGTCAAGACTTGGAGTGAGACACAGAGTCCAGCGAATATCTCCATCCTGCAAGAGGACCTCTCTAAAATTGCAGATTGGACGATCGGGAGCCTTCTCCCTCTTATGAGCGAACTGCCCCAGATACAATGCAGGAGAACCAGATGGAATATTATGATGGTGTGTCATATCGTTCATAGTCCTCATCCTGATCCGTTGCTGCTAAGCTTTAGTCAGAAACACCACCTTGGAGGTCATCTTTTCACATTAGAACGTCAGAGATTACGTTCAGCGATACGTTCTAACTCATTTACAGTTAGAGTAGGGGAATTGTGGAAAGTCATTCACGAAAAAGTCATAGTTTCTTCTCCTGATACGTTCAAATGATGCTCGGTGCACATGTAGAGCCCCTCGCTACAGATGAACTGTGTGCGAGAAGCCGCCTCTCCTCTTGCAAACCTGTAACTATATCAGATCAGTTATTCAGTTAAATAATTGATTGGTTACCCTAGAAAATCTAAATTTTTTTTGATCCAGGGAAACAACTAGACATTCCAAACGTTGAAGCTACTCCATTAGGACAGACATAGAACCCAAAGAAACATTGTTCACTATTTCTACAATAAGAATCTTGAAGTGTATCTCACTGTAGCTGAAAGCAGGGAGATGAAGAGATTTTATTGCCCACTCCCGGAGAAAGCTGCACAATACGAGCCAAGACCAGACAAATAAAAAGAAGTGATCAAAACCATTGGTTTCCTAAGATCGCACTACTGATTTTGGACTTTTTTGGATGTTAGGTCACAAGAAAACCCCAAAGCTGCCAGAAAGTGATACCAGCCTCTTCTCCTTTAGGAAATGTCAAGTGTAGGGATTAAGCAAAGAAAAGTGAAGCACTATCTGTACTACTGACTGCCTAATTGCATATTGGATGGGCATGCGAGCTATATTTCAAATATACGTTACAATGAACGATATCGACCTTGGAGGCATTAGTCTAGAATGTGAGTCACCTTACGCTCGGTCTGTGCCTGTGATTTCGGCTCTTGGTCTGCGAAATAAATTTTTGTTCCTTGGCTCCTCTTCTGTTTCGGGTGAGTCAGTTTATAGTACCACTTGAATGTGAATCCTATGTATGATGTTAAATGATATATCTATGTTATTTAACATATTATTTACCTTTTATTGTCACAATATAAATTTATCTTCACATTTGCGTCTTGTACATGCCTTTCTATCAGTGTGAAACGTGTTTTTAAACTTCGGGCGCACTTTGTAACTTTCAACACTTTCGGGGAAAAACTTAAGGCGCTTGACACTTCTGGGGAAAAGGTTTAGAACACTCGGGGAATATCGTGCGTCACCCCATATGCACTCGAAGTAAAATTTTCGGGTTTCTGCCTAAAAGTTACAAAGTGCAGCCGATGTAAGTGCTGGCTGGGATGCTTGTTAGGAGTTTATTGTATCAGTTTTTAAGTCGCTCATCAGCAAATGCTTTTTTTCTGTAACGCGCCTGATTATTAGGCTTGAACCTAGCCACTCATTGACGATTGTGAATTACCATGTGAATACAACTAACAATTATTATGAGAGACCAATGCAGATTTTGTTCTGGGGAGCGCAAACTTAAAATATCTGAATAATATTCAGTTTTTATAACTCAGTTTCTTCAACTTTATCAGTCTTGGCACATTGCGGGCCTATATGTGTGTTTGTAAGGGTTTTGAGTTATAAACAAAATGGTTTCAATAGTTGTTGATAAAATAGAAGTTTTCGCTTAGCTGCCTTTCTCGTCTACAGTCCGTGGATCACTAGTCCGTGTGGTTGTTAATCTGTGTACAATCAAACAGAAAAAGTGGCAGTTAAAATTTGAAAATTCAGCTAGTCGTGAGTGGATTTCACCCACTTCTCAAGTGAGTAACAAGCTAGCTTCTAAAGGATTCAGAGCCTTCCTGGTTTTAACAACTCTCAGTGAACCGAAATTGTGTCTGATGTGTAACCTTAAAAACAATCCTTTCGTCCCTCAGGTGTCATTTAAATTTACTAGATTTGTGTCATTCCGAAATAAAAGATGAGGAAATTCGATAGCGGTCTCTCAAAGTTCCATCATCGATGTTGTGCGGTATGCTGAGTAACGACTGACAACAAGCATATCTTACACATTTCAAATAATGTCGTTTCCTCACTATCAGAAGTACTCGTTTAGTTGATAACTATTATCTTGACTGACGAAATATACCCATTTCTTCATTAACAAGAACAAGGCATGTATCAGCAAAGAAACATTTCTTTTCAACGACTTCATTATCGATCTGTACAGTCGTATTTACACTCAGTAAAGTGACAGATAATAGCACTATTATCTTCCTGGAATTTTATTCACGTAATCCAGTCTAAATGTATGGGTTTATTTGCAATCGAAAGTTGCGTTCGAAATCAAAATGTAGTCGAAGCGTAAGTGTTATGTTTTTCTCTTCTACGTGTACGGAATCATCAATAACACTTTTGCTATTACTAGTATCTTGATTAGTAATCGTGTTTTAGTCTCGTATCTTGTTGCAAGTTCTTTTCGTGAAATTATTACGACTGCAAATCAAATTCAGAGTAAGAATTTGGTATTGTGGGATATGTATGCCTAGAACTAATTTCTGTTGTAGAATTCAGTGATGCAACCGCGAGTACTTTGACTATTGTCTTCCAATCGTGGATTAACTGGCCGGGGCAAATCTAAGTTACCATCCTCTATAATTAATCAGTCAACATCCATTCAGGACCTAGCAGCATTGTGGAGCAATTCAAGTTCCACTTTGCACCATGTCATCAACGTACAATGCACTAAAATGAAGGACAGCGAAATAATCAGAGAATGTGAGGTCAGAGGTCGTCGAAAATCCACAAGAAAGGAGAATAAAGTAAAAGAAATAACAAAATCGTCTACAACTAATGAGGGCTATTCTGCATCCAATAAAATAATTGCATACAATTTTGAGTGCGTTTTAGTGGTTGTGTAAAATGTTAGGCTATACTGTCCTTCCTTCTGTATTAACTAAAGAAGTGATAGTTGATAGTTTCTTCTTTGTCCTTAACTCGTTCTCGTTGGAATTAATTTATTAAACGAAACCCTGAATTGTGTCACTGTTACGTTCATCCCAACTTTGTGTTACAAATCCTTGTTGTTGTTGTCGAATTTCAAACTGAGAAACTTGTAGTGTGATTGAGTACAGTCTCCCATTATACCATTTAAAACATGAAACTCAAAGAACCTGACATGACAGACATGTGAAAAAGTATTAGCTATAAAGAAATATTCCAATGAAATTGGGAATTAGACCTCTTGTGAATACAGATAGTTTTAAAAGCAGTGTTCTGTAAAGTTTGCTGAGGGAATCTGCAGGTCGTTTATTGACACTAATGTCGGTTCAGCGTTGCGGGTCTGAAAAGCTGTTCAGATCAGAAATTGATTACCAATATTTTAAGGTTGTCAATTTTGTCGAATTACCAATTAAAAACGTTCATAGTCGATCTCATTGACTTCTGTCAGGCTTTATGTGGTTTATCTGTCGAACATTGTAAATTACTTTCCATCTCATAATGTATCATGTTTATCTGACTGACTGAAAAAATCAACGTAGAATCTCGCACATAGGTGCATCGGCTCAAGTTGCCACACTTCATAGTAGTATGCGAAGTACAGTTAGAAAAAGACTGATATCAAGGTAGACAAAGTTGTGTGAGAGAATAAAGAGTCTGAAAATGCAGGTTAGTGTGAATATTCAAGCTTTAGAAGATATCAAGGAGTGAATACATCTGTTTCATTATGGCCCATTTTCAGTCATGTCACCAAGAGTTCTCAACCACTGATTTGTTTCATCTCGGAGACTCCAGTCTACATCTCCCCACGCGACTCAGACCAACAGTAAGAGACTTGGTCGCCTGGTACAACATCATGGTCTAGCCACACTGAACCCTCTATCAACCTAGTCCAACTTCTCTTAGCATGGGAGGTTGAGGTAGGAGATGGCTTGGCATGTGCAGTACATGTCCAAGCCGAGCCATGTACGTGATGTGTTTCTTTGCAGAATTCTAAAGTCCGAGGAATATGAAAGTTATCACGTGTTATGTACTGTGAGCCTACTGAAAGAAAGTCTAATTGTATATTCCTAATTATCGTTTACTTGCACAAGAATAATCACCTAAATTTATTCTCAATCTTAGCACCTTAGAAACTCCCATTATAGTTCAAAATGCATTTAAAAAAACAATAAACATTCTTTTCAACAACTTCAATTCCTGCATTTCTATGTCCATATCGTGGAATTTTTGCGTTAATAGCGGTGAGATTTGATATAATAATATTGTTATACAGTTAGGGAATTCTCTTCGGAAAAGTCATTTTCTAATTTTGTCATCCAGGTCCTATTGAAAGTTCGGTTTCTGAAATTTTATCTGATCACTTAGTATATTATTCATCTTATACAATCACACTTGCCAATAACTACTGTCGTTCCTTTATCAGGCTTAGTAAATACCAGTTCACTTGAACTATTTCCAAGCATGAGAACAATACCGATCAGTTTGCAATTCTTGGGATTCTTTCATAGTTGAGCTTATATAAACAATTATTTTAAATAGAATTTCAGTATTACACATAAAACTTCTACGAAGGGAATCCCCCAACTGTATAACATTATTAAGAAGTTATAGGAAATCTCGACATCGTTAACGTAAAATATCACTACATAGACATATAAATGTAGGACGTGAAGAAGAAGTTATCGAAAAGACTATTTTTTATCCCTTCAAATGTCTTTCTCCATCTTAGTTGACTTATTAGTTGTACCACAGCGAAATAGTGTTATTTACCGGATAACATTTCGGATAACTTATTATCCTTAGTCATAGAAATTTACTGCAGTGCTCAAGTTTTACTCTTTCGTTAAATCTATTCTCATTTTAAATTGTCAGTGACCATCATAGAGGTTTATCACCAAAAAAGGAGCCCAAAACAGTGCTGATTTGATGCAAACTTAAAAGTCATAAGTTTTGTATTCCAAGCGCACCAGTCTTTCGTTACATTATCTACCAGATACATTTATTAGTGAACAATGCTTATCAGAAAGTGTTTATGATAATATGTATTAGGATATCGACAACTTGAATACATACGAATAAATTTTGCAATGTATTCGTTTCTTCACCTGGTATAGGCGATCTCTGGACTGGTGATTTAACGGTCTACAAGTTGAAGAATTCCCCGACAAATTATCTTGGCCAACTTGTTCATGAAGATGAGTTAGCGTTAGTTGATAACGTCACTCAACAAATTGTTACAAGGACTTCTTTTGAGGCATCTGTTGCCTCAATAGCTCCCTTAAATCCAAAATGCAGTGAATCCACAGATGGTGTCATAGTCGGCCTAAATGATGGTTCTATTCAATTAGTTACATTGCGTGGGATGTCAGTCAATCAAAATTCTTACCAATTTCAAATGCAGGTATTTATATTTCGAACCTTTTTGTATCAATGATTTTATTTGTGTAGATGTATTTTAATAATCATAAGTTCCGTTCACAGTTGTAAGGGATCTATGAGTACATTAATTTATAAGAATAGAGTATGTCTTTTCCATATGCCACACCTATTTTACTTTATGCATTAACGAATTCTCACTTTTTCTTTGCTCACATATGTTGTTCACATTTCCGACAGTGTACTGCTACATTAAGTTTTCTGTCTTGTTGATAGTTTTCATTTGTACATGTATTCATCAGTGTGAATAATCATCATGATCGGACAGTTCGTTGGTTTTTGTTTATGATTTTAAGGTGTTGGTACGTATCTCTAGAATACTACACCGATCATTTATCCATCATATGTGGAATGTCTCAGCAACCGTATGCTAGAACGTAGACCTCAAGTATTGTCTGAAGGCTGTGATACTATTTGTATCCCGGAGATTCAATAGGTAGAGCGCCGTTTGAACCTAAGATCTACTCAGTGGTTAGCAGCACCAAGACCAGGCATTACTACATAACGGTCGAAGTTGCTACATCTCACATCTGGATAATGGGATATTTTACGAAAGGTTAAGAAATGGAAATAATATGTCCGAAAGTCTTAGGCATAGAATCAATAAAAGAGGTGCTCAACGGAACAAGTAGACATGGTACAGTGATTCCGATGGAAATAAGGTTTGGATGCACGTGAGTCATTGCTATCGGTTCTACGCCATGTTATCTAGGAGGTCCTAACATCGATTTCGGTTGTCACGCTGACTCCAACCGGGTAGTTTACGCTTCCCTACATAACTCAAGCCCACAGTCAACGACTTTGTGAACTTATACCATCTTTGGTCTGACAGTCTTTTACCTTTCGCCAGCATGAACCTACTTCAGTTAGTGTTACACAACTGGGTAGATGGTGACTAAGCATGTGCAACATGTTCCAATTATCTGAGTAGATGGAGGTTCACAAATTCACCAACGGAACCACTTCTGCCTAATACTCCATGCCTGACTTCTGCGTTACTGAAGTGGTGATAACATGACAGTGAAGGTAATTTGAAAGTGAAGGTGATATGAAGGTAATGGTAGTCGAACTGGAAGTCTTCTTACATACTCCACTTTTAATGCCCCTGCTTCAAAGCCATATGTTAAGAAACAGTTAACTGCAGAGTAGTCAAATGTCTCTAATAGACAATGGAATATCACGGTGGTGCCATAAATAAAAATGGAGAAAGCTAAACAAACTTTTGTATCCCTTCAGAAATTCCACCTGTCACCGACATACTAGGTCTGACCTGGCTTCCCAGATAAGTTATAGGGTCAACGTGCTCAAACAATTCACTCTTTGTTGTTAGGTGAACTACCTCAGCCAACCAGTCGTGGCTGTAAACTGAACCTGATTCTGGGAGCCTGAATCTTCTTGTAGCAGCGAAATCAACAGTCACTGGTTAGTTTCAGTGTACTTATCGCAGTGAATATCTATATAACATAACTAAAGAGAAAGAGTGAAGGAGTGCATCTGGTAAGGTACCTTTTTGATTCCTGCTACACATATATCTGTATCATAAGTGACACGAGAGTTACAGCTAGAGGACCTTTCCATGACTAAATGTTGAAAGTCAGAATTAGATTTGTGAAAGAGAAAGTGGTATCAAAAGATGGCGTAACGTGATAAAACATACAGTCTAGTGTGAAAGTAATAGTGGAGACGGAATAATTTACTAATGTCATAGGAAGTTTGGTGAGTGTGTAAAACTTTTGATGAGCATATCGATTGTGAGTCAGTCTTTACAGATACCTCTGAGCAAATATAGATGTGAAGACACCTGGGATACAGATGAAAAGAATGGTAACAGTGGTCGTTAGTAGTAGTGAGTAAGAAATGGGCTTCTTGAGAAACTCTTAGGAAAGACAGTCATCAGTGGTAATGTTAGCAAAGGAGTCGACTGTTGATCTGTTCTACAAACAGCTGAGAGGAAAGATCACTTCAGCTAATCATTCATTAATTATGTTATTTTTATCTGTTTAAGGTATACTAAGTACAACAAAGGCGCCGAGTGATACGCCATGTAAAATGATCTAGGGACACTAAAAGAACGAGAACGTAATATCGAAAAGAAGCAAAACAGAGATAAATTGGTCGAAAAATAGTGCTAGAGATACGTCCAAATAACCATCCATTTATCCATCCAGATCAACCTAGGACCAGGCATTACTGCGTAACGGTACGAGTTGCCACACCTCATATTACTACATCAAGTAAAAAGGCAATGAGGCGCAAGATGAAGATAAGAGAATGCAATCAAAAGAAATATAAAGTACGAAAAGAGAGAAATGAAGAATGAGAAAATGGTGAGATTCGGTATAGCGTCGTTAAGATGAAGATAATATATGCATACATCTGCGCCACTCACTTTGGTTCTCAGCCATGTGGTCACGTACAGTCTCCAACCACTGGTTCCTCTTATCCCACTGACCCCAACCACCTAGTCTGCATCACCACATATGGTTCAAACCAACAGTCAAACACTTCATACATTGGTACCATATTTTAATCTGATCGTCTCGAACCTTTTTCCAACCTCGACCCACTTCAGCCAACATTGTGTGACGAGGCAATCGGTGATTACGCATACCAAACACATGTCTGAGCCAACCATCTCAGTCGATCAAGGTTCACAACCTCGTCAACCGACTTACCTCTTCTACCTAAAACTCTACTCCTGACTTCTGCATTACTCACATGGTGACACCATGGAATACGGTCTATACTACGAGGGCAACGGTGGTCAAACACCTCAAGCCTTCTCATATCTTCCACCTTGAATAGCTATGCTTCACAGCCATAGAGCAGAACAGAGCGGACTGTTGTGCAGTACACGCGACCTTAATAGACAATCGGATATTACGGTGGCGCCGCATGTGGCGTAAGTTGGCGAAAGCCAATAGAGCCTTCTGTATCCGTGCAGAGATTTCACTGGCCACTGAGCCACCAGGGCTGATCCTAATTCTATTGTTAGCCAAATGACCACTCACTTTAACTTTACTTTTGGATACTATATGAAACAAAAAAAGCTGCGACATGATCACAGCTGATTTTAATTCTGAACCATGTCTAATATCTCAAGCTATCGCATTCATTGCATAACCACTTAGAACCCATTCGGAAAAATGTATTTCACTGAATGACAATCTTCATCACACCTGCACATAAACTATTTCATCTTAGAACTATTTACTTTTCATTTTTATGAGTTGCTAGCGGTCCTACTCAGATAATGGTGATTAAACAAACTCGTCAGACATCGTCATCTTGCATAGACTTAGTTTCACAATTGTATAACCTTATGTTCAACTACTTCAAGCAATATGGGTTCACAGACTTATTAACTTATTTCTCATGCTTGTCACTTTCTTCTCCATCTATTTAGCTTTCCCTGCCCATTATCATCATTTAAACTCTCAGTCAATTAAACCTGTTGGTCACTTTATTAAAAGAGTTAAAATAATTTTCTGTTGTTTTTATTTTGTCTTCATTTATCAATGAATAAAATCTTATTGCTACTTGTTTTTTTTTTCTGTTTTGTATATCTGATCTCCGATAGCCGGTAACAATCAATTCAGCCACATATCATGATTGGCCATTGGAGAAAGTGATAACATCTCAAATCTCTGGATCAAGTAATATGCATATAGTTACATTAGATGTAAGCGGTTGTGTAAAGGTGAGTTATTCTAAAATTTTTATTTTTATACAGTGAAGTCAAATTTACTATTTGTATGAATATTCTACTCAGTTCAATAATCACCCTCCTATTTGCTTTCTGAATCTTAAAAAACTAATTATTGAAAAAGATAAACACATAGTTAATTCAAGTTGTTATTCATCGTAGACTGACATCAGTTGGAGGAACAAAGGAAACCTGGGAGCACTGGATAGCTGTTTCGTCATGGTATAGGACTACTTAGCAGTGCGTACCCACGACCCCGCCAGGGATCGAACCGTGACCTTCAGATTCCGGGGCTAGCACGCTACCATTAGGCCACTGAGTCAGAATCCAATGGTCCATCTTTCCGACTTCTGTTAGCCCACGATGTCAATCTACGATGAATAACAACTTGAAATATTTATAAATCTCCACAACTCCCTCAAAAATTCAATTGAACTGGTGCTTATTGGTGACTAGCTTCGAGAAGTATTCCCGAAGTTCCAATGAGAAGTCGTGACCGGTGGAGTCAAAGCCTGATGGCCGTGAGGACAGTTACTCAACGATGACATTGGGTGGCAGTTGCGCTATATCGTGAGCTAACAGAAGTTGGAAATATGGAGCATTGGATTCTGACCAGTGGCTCAATGGTAACGGGTTCGGTCCCTGGCGGGGTCGTGGGTGCGCACTGCTGAGGAGTCCCATACTAGAACGAAAAAGCTGTCCAATGCTCCCAGGTTTCCTTCGTTCCTTCAACTGATGTCAGTGTACGATAAATAACAACTTGAAATATTTTCAAATCTCCACAACTCCCTCAAAAAGAAACCAATTAATTGAATAGTTCAACTTATTTGGGAAAAATAGCGCCTAATTATGTACTGCAAGCATATTTTGTGAGTAGAATTAATGTAAGGTCAGAAAGTTCACTATTTCTGTGGCAGTGGTGAATTGATAGGTGGGTAATGTATCTACTCAGCATAAAGAATAAGATCCGGATTTTCAACACTAATGTCGGTCAAGTCAGTGCCTGTACGTGATACTTGAAAGACTTGGCGGTGCTTTACGAAAAGCATCTCCAACAAACTACAGACATTTGTCATCAACAGCTGCTGCCTACGCTCCCTCACTCGACACTGAAGATGAGATGAGATGAGATGGCCAGAATAATAAGAATAAGCAAGGAGGAACTCTGGCTGGCAATGAAGCTACCAACCGAGAACGTATCACCCAACAAATATGCAGTGGAAGAAAGTGAAGATGGATTGGATTGGATTGGATTGGATTTGACGTAGACTGAGAAGACGTTTTGGGATATGAAGTGGTAGGTGAGGTCCTTAAGTGGAAGCCAAATGGGAACGGACGAGTTGGGCGTCGGAGGTGAGGGTGACATGGAGGAGATTGTGTGAGGAATGAATGAGAGGCTATGGACAGTCGTGGAGCCAGGTTAAAAAGAGTGAAGAGAACGGAGTGGAATGGTGACATGCTACTGAAGCTGTATGTCCCACTAGGAACCCAAGGAGCAACTCATTAATAATAATAATAATAATAATAATAATAATAATAATAATAATAATAGTAATAATAATATATCTACCATAGTAATGTTCCTCTATGTAAATTATTAGGTGAAGACACTTTGCAGTTCATCCTTAAAATTTCAACCGTCTCTCCTCGACAAACGGAAGCGGTGATAGCGGGCATCTCTGCAGGACACCACTAGTTGTCATCAATTCACATGGTAACTCTCTGTGAATCCTTAAACGACTGCATGGGTTCGAGTAGAGGGCTTTGATTGGCGTCATTCGGCATTGCCTTCACTGTCAAACACTTTTACATCACACAGTCGATAGAGTTAAATGCCACCTTGAAGTCAAGAAATATGATAAGTGCGACCACTACCCGGTAGGTATACCCATGTTGGACGATAACTTTCATCTGATAACAAAGTAGAAGTTTTCCTAGGTTTTCACTTAGTCATATCTACCTTCATGTTGTTATCTTGTAGTTGTCTACAAATAAAATCAGTAATTAGTATAGTTGTTTTTATATCATACCGTCGTTGATTGGACCGAATTGATCGGTCTCTATTGGCATATGGGCTCCTGTGCGGATGCCTTGATATTGCCTGTGTTCTAATTATCGTAAAGATGGATAGTGACTAACATTGGAACCTAGAGTACGCATTTCGTCCTATTTGGGACTCGTCAGTAGAAGTACACTTCTGTTAGCAGTTAAGTGAAATCATTGTTCATATTCTTTTGTCTTTCACTTTCTCGATAAAATCAAATGTTCCCCCCTTCCGCCTTGGCTACACTTGACCAGCTTACATTGTAATGACTTCAGTATAACAGTCTAACCATCTTACTTTTTGCTCATAATATACTCAGCTGAGACCAAATTGCAACCCTACGCTACACATCATCATAGAACAGAGTATAGAATGCCAGTCAACCCTCTACCTCAACTTCATACACTTTGAAAAGGCCTTTGACAGCGTCGACCGAGAAGTAATTTGGCAGTTGCTTCATCACTACGGAATACCGCAAACCTTTATCAATCTCATTCAACAAGTATATGAAGATGCCACATGCCAGCCAAGTAATTCACAACGGGAAGCTCAGTGGGTGGTTTTGAAGTGAAGACAGGTGGGAGTAAAACAAGGCTGCCTACTATATCACCCATGATATTCCTGAATATAGTGGACTGGATCATGCAACAAACAGTGAGGAGTGAGAAGAGAGGGATACGCTAGCTGGACCGTGGAAAAGAACCTAGAAGATTTGGATTTCACCGATGACTTGTGTGTAATGTCACACAAACTTGAAGATGTATAGGCGAAAACTAACAAGTTGACAGAAGAGGTGGGGCGAGGCAGCGAAGGAAGACGGGACTTCAAGTGAACGTGGAGAAGAAAGAGGTGATGAAGATACCCAACCAACACCAACAAACTCCAATCTCCATCAATGGGAGAAACTTAAAGGAAGTAGCCTCCTTCACTTATCTAGGCAGCACTGTTTCAACTGCAGGTGGCGGCACAGACGAGGACATCAGAGGCAGCCAGGATGGGAAAGGCAAGACGGACGTAGATTAATCTGAAAGCAGTGTGGAGATCTTCTGCACTCAGCATGTGGAACAAGATGTAGATTTTCAACACTAACGTCAAGTCAGTGCTTCTATGTGATGGTTAAGAGGCTTAGCGGTGCGTTACGAAAAGGATTTCCAACAAACTGCAGACATTCATCAACAACTGCCTACGTTGGCTCGATACTGAAGCTCAGGTGGCCAGAGAGAATAAGCAAGGAGGAACTCTGACTGGCTGGCTAGCGAGGAACCAACGAAGAAGGTATTGCTGAACAAATATGCAGTGGAAGGAAATGGAGATGGATTGTGCATGCAGTGAGAAGACCATTTGGGGACATCATGCGCCAGTTCAGGCCAGGCACTCGAGTGGAATGGAGATGAGAAGCGACGAGTTGGGCGTCCGAGGTGAGAGTGACATGGAGGAGATCGTGCGAGGAAGACGTGTGAGAATCTGGGCTGTCGTGGAACCATGTTCAAAAGTTTGAAGAGAAGAGAGTTCACTGGAGACGTGCTACTGAAGCTGTATGTTTCATTAGGAACCCAAGGGACAAATAATAATAATAATACTCAGCTGAACATATGTCTATGAATGATCTCATCAAATGCATTAATTCATTGTATCACAAATGATTCGTTGTGTGTTATGTACAATGCCAGCATTTAATGTCTTCACTACAACTATACACAAAGAATTGATAGTATGTGTTAAAGTGATGAGTCATAATAGAGTGAAACAGATTTCAACTATTCTCTACATGGTTTTAAAAGAAAAAAAAATTCATTTTTCTTTCACTAACAAATTACAAAATGAAAATAACTTATCTAAATAAAACGTGATCTTTATGTTACGGTAACATTTCATTTTCACTTTATCACTTTTACCTACTACTACTACTACTACTACTTATTCATCTACATATTGTTCACATAATTTCCGTTTCTGTCTTGTCTTATTTCATTTTGTTTATATTCGTGTATTGTTCAGTTTGTTTTACAATATGATGGTTCATTTTTCATTAGTACACCAGAACAGTGTGTGTGTGTGTATGTGTGTGTATGTGAGCATGTTTAATGAGTGTATCTGAGTCACAGAATGTGTAAGATTGGAGGACAGTGTTAAAAGCTATTCTTTATTCATGTTGAAAGTATAAATGATAAATAATGCCTTAGTACTTTTGTTAGAGAGCGATAGCGACACACACACACACACACACACACACACACACGTAGAGTAAAGCATGATATATTGATCAGGTCTTATATCTATCTGTAGACTGTTTACCTTTTCCTTGCTATCTATTTAAACAAACGTGTAACATTACTGTGAAAGTGAAACTATAGCCAATATCAAAGCATCTGCACAGGAGTTCATATACTGATACAGACTGATGAATTCGGTCAAGTCAACGACCGCGAATTACAACCAAAAACTATACCCACTGTATAAGAAGTAGCTGTCATGACTCATTGGCTTAAACGATAATGCTGTGGTGTTTGTAGCGATGGGTGCTGGTTTCCAGTCTTATCAATATTATTTGTAATGTATTTTTGAGATGAATGGGGATTTTTAATTTAGAAGTAGTATTCATCATGGACTGACATCAGTTGGGGAAATATTGGAAATCTGGGGGCACTGGACAGCCGTTTCATCCTAGTATGGGACTCCCCAGCAGTGCACACCCACCACCCGGCTAGGGGTCGAACTCAGGACCCTCAGGTTTCAAGGCGAACGCCTTTACCATACAGCCACCTGGTCGGTCTCCAGTGGTTCACAATTTCCAACTTCTGTCAATTCACAACAATCCCCATTCATCTCAAAAAATACATTACACTATAGTGTTCATTAGTGACTCGCTTCCAGATGGATGTCAGGAAGTTCTAATGAGAAGCCGTGACCTGTGGGGTCAACCAGTTAGAAGTGAAGTGGATGCTATCTG